TAAACAACAACTTCTAAAGTTGGACAAGAGGAACGAACGGAGCAAATATAAATTAATATGTTTTAGGAATAAATTAATTAACAACTTGCAATTACAACTTAATGATTTTTAATAATAAGATGTTAATACATCATGTACTACACATGATTAAACAAAATACGACCATTATTGATTCTGCCTATAAAACAATAATTGCATTTAAGTACGAGTGTACCCGGTGTTCAGTTTACATTTACTTCGCTTGACTCAAGTTAATAATCTTTTTCGGTTTGTTTGCATTAATTGGCAATGTAAGCGGGTTTTGTGTACACGTTAATTGGCTTAGTCGATTGCATAATATATCAAATAATATCATTTGGCAGTGCCTAAACGGTTCGTCGAGTTAATGTGCCAAGTCACACGGTTTAGAATTATATCCGAAAAAAAAACAACTAAACTACAATGTATAATTGCGTCGGTCAAAGGACAAGCAGAACAAAGTTCATCAAATTAAATGCAATCGAAGCGAAAACATCAAGATGGATTAAAAAAAAAACTTTACTTTTCGAAAAATGTAACAACTATTTTACTGGCAGACCAAAGCAAAGCCACGTTACCTATTTATACTGTGAAAAAACCATATTTTTAAAATCTAATCTATTTTTATGTGACCCCTTCCGGTCGGAGTTAATCGATTATCGATTGACAACAGCTTAGATAATACAAAACCGGGCAGTATGTAATTATTTTAAAACATGTTGCGTTTCCCTCGTTTAGATGTTATTGAATAAATATTTCGTCTATCTTTAAAAATTAACCTCACGGTTAAAAATAAATTGGAACCCTTCCCGTTGTCTGTCTACCTTTATAATAATAACAATAATACCATAATTTTAAACAGTGAGCTTTATTATAATAATACCATAATTTTAAACAGTGAACAAGGAAAATATACCGAGAACGCAAATTAAACCACACTCCTTCCGCCGTCGCTATTCTTGAGTGCGTTGAGCCGTTTGTGGTTGAAATATCTTTATATGTGTTTATTATACATAAAAAAAAACATTTTTTTATTTCAGAACAAAACCATAGAGGCCGACTTCGAAACGAACTATTGTTTTCCGAATAAGTTTTATTTTGTTTCACCCTTTTTGATTCCCAGAACCCTACTTAAAATCCAATATTGTTAATTAAAAAGAATTTGTTTTTTGGGGGGGGGGGAGTAGCTTTTCTGGTAAAGGTTTCACAATAATTCAAGAAATATGTCACCGAAAATATAATGATATAAATAAATAGAATTTTAACCGTAAAAAAACATACACTCATGTACACAAACACAATACAACAAGTGTGAACAAGGCGCGTTCCAGGAAAGCATTGTTTTTTCCCCCCCCGGTGAAATTAATTGAAAAACCGGCAAAATATTTATGAACATATTTTTCGGCGGGGTTTATTTCCAGAAAAGCTAAATTAAAAATCTGTTCTCGGAACACTGGTTGTTTACACTATACGGGTACAAGCTGTGAAAGTAAACACTTAAAATTCAATTTTAAAAAAAAAAGGGAAGCAGTTTTTTTCGAAAGGTCGAAAAATTGTCATTTACAAGAGCAGCGTCAGAAGTGAGTATAATAAAAACGGAAATTAATTTTTGATATTATGCAGTCGTGGAATTAAATATTTTCTAGGTTTGACCTAGATAGACCAAACGATTACCGGTTACCAAAGTTAGTCATTTAAACGATAGTAATTATTCTTTCGCATACATTTTTCTTCACAAGAACAAATACACTAAAAAAGTATACAAGAGAGGGTAAACGAGAAGAAAACGGTTTCAAGATGGGAGGAGGGCATAGTCTTGTTTCGGCATAGAATAGATGTCCCCATAGAATAGATTTGAAAAATTAATTTAAAAAAAAACGCTTGAAATACACGCTTCAGAAAGTGACTGGCGGTTTAGTCTCTTTTTTTTTTATAACATTTGACGCTTTTCGTTCCCCTTCAGATTATTTTTTTTGTATACACTTTTATATTATTATATACTTTACAGGTTTAACTCGGTGTGCTTAAAGTCAAGTACCCAAGGGAAGGATGACAAATGTCCAACCAAGTGTTGTAAGCGAAAATAATTCGAATTTAATTTAGTATTTTAAGTTATTATTTTTCTTAAATGTAACACAGTTTTTATTGGAAAAGTAGGTAATGAAATTATATTTTGTTCGCCAGACATTTGGTTGTTGACGAAATCGTGTTGATAACAATGGCGAATACGACGACGAGACTGGAAAATACAATTATAATAAGTGGTCGTTTTTAAGTGGATTGATCTATTATGCGCAAATCACATTATGTCATTTCCAACGTAACTTGGTATATTTTTAAAGATTATTTTCGGTGGTCGAAAAAGTTGTATAACGTTTTCAAAACATACCACCCCGCACATTATAATGGAACGTGAAGAAAAAAAAGTTTTTTTACCTGAACACGCGTGCCGACAATTTAGTTGTTGGAAAACATAGAATTGAACATTTTCGACTAGACCAAAAATAAACGACAAAACTAAATACTATGTTAAGCGCCGTAGTTTATTCTGCTGTTTATCAACTGAGTAGGTAATAAGAAAATACCAGTTACCACAGCGGTTAGAACATGGTCAGCGTATGTATCTGATAACGTAACACGCGAATACCAGCTCTGTAACCAATCATTAACCGCGCAGTTACCATGCGGTAACCGCGAGCTGGTTACCGGCGGCTATTTACCGTTTTCGACAATAGACGATATTTGTATATATTTTATTCGTTCAAATCGAAGTACCGAAGAGTTGGATGTAAATCCAATCAGGTTAAAAAAAAAATAAATCAAAAAGCCAAAAACAACCGTAAATACGTGTATTCAATTGTTTTGCTAAAAAAAAAAAATTCTATAGTTTGTGCGTGATGTGCCGATGTGTAATTGTCGGGTGTATTTTTATTAATTGTGCCGGCTTGTCGCAGCCCGTTAAAAAACACTCATAAAAAAGCTCGTTAAATCAGTTAAAAAAAAAAAAACCAACGCGTATGTAAGTATCTCCATTAACAAAACGTGTGTTTGTTGATGTACGCCGCCACAACAACAGAACTATTTATTTATTATTTGTCGGATAACCGACGGTGTGCAAATACGATATTTTATTGCGTTTTTATTATTAATATATATATATATATATATATACACACCAATAACGATTCCACCATAACCGCAGAGAGCTGTATTTTAGTATACGCGGTTTTTCAAATAGTCGTCGTTTATCGATTTTAGTCGACTTGTCGTAAGAAAAAACATGTTATTTTTTTTCCCCCGAAAATAATCAAATTCATTATTTATTTGCGGTTTTAAAGACGGCAAAATAATTTGTCCAACGATGTATTCATTCGAATTGTATGATAGAAACACAAAACACTAACTATAGTTACCACCATTGCGGTTGTCTGATACCATTTACCGGTTACCAAAGTTCTGTAACCGACCGTTTACCGTGTACGCATTGATAATGTATTATAATAATGTTATAGCCGATACTATATTATTGTGTTTTGTATCACACACACACACACACGGTTGCAGTAGTAAACGCACATTAAAAATATTTACCAGAGAAAATAAATGTAATTTCGTTGTTCTGGTCTTAAAACACTGCACAAAAAAACCACTTAAAACACTACCTTTTCGCTTACTTCATATGTTTTACTTGGATAGAGGAGATCACGAGACGCAGTAGTTTACACGGTATTAATATATCAGTTGTATTTTCGTTAAAGCGACAAATAGGAATATTTATGATAAAATATATCGGATAAACAAAACACCGGAGATTACAATATTGTGCCTTTTTAAAAGAGGCGTCACGCTGCCACTAATATTGTAACCGAAAATAATAATAACTAATTATTGAGAATATATGTATCGATAAAGAGAAAAAAAAACCATAGGAATGTTTGTCGTTATTATGTGTTATTATTTCTCTGTTATTTATCTCCTGGGTAAATATCAAGTCGGATCGAACAAAGAATATTATATTATTATATTGTATATAATATTTACATTTGGGTATCGACGAACAAATTTACCGTTTAAAACGCCACGTCCGTCGTGTGTACCATTTGTGATATAAAAAAAACATGTTCAAAACGTTTTTTTTTAAACGGCTTAATCGCTGTCGCTCGACTTTTTTTAAGAAAAATAAAATATACAGGCCGATTCGTTAAGAAGAAGACGAGATACTGATTCATTTTTTTAAAATAATTGCAATTTTTAGTATTTATTTTTGTTGAAAAACATTTTTTGTTTGTGTTATTTTACAATAGTATTTAACAATTGCCTAAATATTTACATTTTTTTTCAGTATTTTCCAGAGCTTTGTCGACTCGAAGTTATAATTATTGAACCGGTCAAGTTTAAAGTTTAAAGTCTAGGACGGGAGTAGTATTATTTTTATCAGCGCGCATTTCCCTATAGAAATCCACCACCTCCCGTCCTAAATTTTAAGCATAGTAACTTCTAGTTATTATCCAAAACTGGTCAATATAACCGGTCAACATGTTCAGCAAATTGTTGTTAATTTAAAAAGTCAATTGAATATGAACGTTAATTTCAAGAATCCATAGGACCTCTGGAAGTAAACAATAAAGATAAAAATTCCAATATTCCGAAGTAACAACACAACAAGCTCGAGTATCTCCTCTCAAACAGAGAAACAACAAAATTGCAATTATTTTTCGAAAAAAATAGTCTTATACTTATTTGAATCACCCTGTATACACACATGGACGGACAAAGACGAGACGTGCAATTGTAGCAGTCAGTTTGGCTTTGGTTTAGGACGCGGGAAAAACCCTTCGAGCAGCAGACAAAAACAACATCTATTCAATACATTTTAAAAACCCTGTAGACAACTTTTTTTTTAACTTAAAACCCCGTTTTATTGTTGGAAGAACTGTAATTTTGGACAATTTAAAAACAAAATGTTATTATTTTTTTTTTACTTGTTAAAGTCGGACGAAGACATGCTGTAATCGTCGTTGTGGAGGTGCATGTATTGTGGAGGCGTCTCCGGCGGTGACATTAACTGGTGTTGTTGAGGCTGGAGGATTGTTGGCGGCGGCGGCTGCGCTGGCTGTTGGACGTGGTACTGTTGTTGTTGTTGTTGTTGTGGTGCCATTTCGTCGACCGAAGGGTACGCGGGCACGCCGTAACAGTCGTGGTACTGTTGCGGCGGTACCGCGGCGGCCTGGTGGTACGCAGCGGACGCCGCCGGCGGTGATACCGGTATGTTGTTGTTGGCGATTTTATGGTGATGTTGTTGATTGTACAGTATGGGAATGGCCGGAGGCGGAGACGGCATATTATTGTTGTTATTGTTGTTGTTAAGAAGCTGCTGTTGTTGTTGTTGTTGTTGTTGCATGCAGTAAGAAGCGACCGGAGGCATTTGCAACGGCGGCGGAGAGGACAGCGTCGAAGAAGCAGTACAGTTGTCATAGACGGTGGCGGTGGCCGACAAAGAGGCCGCGGACACCAGGTGCTGGTGGTGATATCCGGCGGCGGCGGCGGCACCGCTGAAACGATGGTGATAGGCATAAGGGTTGTTGCGGTGATGGTGATAGGCGGACTGGGTCGGCGGCACGGCGACGGACGTGTAACTGTTGCGGTGATAGACGGCCGACGGGCCGGCGGCCGCGCATCCGCCGGGCTCCATCGGTTCGTCGGCGTCGGCTTTTGGCGGCGGCAAGTACGCGGTGACGGCGTCCCGTCGGTAATACGCCAGTTTCGGACCCGTATCGACGAACACACAATAGATAGTCGACCGGTAGAGTAAAACCAAATATAATAAAAAATAGTACGCGAGAAAAGACCCGTTGAAATTCGTTCACAAGACGACCCTAACCGCACTCAACTCGGCGGCGCGTGCAGGACGACGGCGACACATGTTGCTCGGAAAACCGTTCGGAACGACCGCCGGCGGTAGCAAAACGCTCGACATTGAGAAGCAGATTGAAAAAATCGCGGGTCCGCCGCCGCCACGGACGGTCGGCATGACGATGTGCGCAGAGTCGGCCGCGCAGCCGCCGCAAGTCGGCTAATTATCTCGTTGCGCGCAGCCCGACCGTTTGGCGTCCCGTCGTGGTCACACTGCTCACCGCCTGCCCGCCCGCCGCCCGCAACCGCCGCCGCCGTAGTTTGCAATCGGTGCATCGCGCGCATTTACGGCGCGATATGCTCGTGTCCAAGGTCAGGGTCTGCGGACGCGCCCGAGGGGACGGATACACCGCACGGCGACTGCGCTTTACTGACCCATATGTGTCATAACATCGTGTTATTATTGTGTACAACGCTCCTCTTCCTAACAATAACACACACCATTATTATTGTTGTTGTTGTTGTTGTAGTTGTTGTTGTCGCATGTGATGGGAAAAATCTGGGTTTACAATAAACGTCGGATTTTTCAAACTTTTATTTTAGATATTTTCGAAGCATTTCTCATAATCCAATCGTTATAACTGCAATAACAGTTTTTTTTTTTTTGTAATAAATTTAATATATTTTTGTAAGACTCGAAAGTTAATTACGACCAGAAATGCTTTTTTAAAAACAAAATTTACAACAAAAGAAAATTTAAGAAACCGAACTACATACAAATACAATATACATAAACTCAATTTATGTATTATAATATTTGGAAACGAATAACAAAATCTATAAATATCCGACATAAGTATTAAGTAGGAATATATAGATATATAAATGAAATGATCAAATGCATTCACACGAGAAAAAACAAACTAAATAACAATAGTAATTGTTATTAGGTAACCGGTCGGAAACAACTTGGACGGTCTTTTGAGTAAATTATAAATGGCGGATGAAAAAAAAAAGAAAAAACAACGACAAAAATAACTTAAACGCGAATGACCGAATGCTTATGACAGTAATTTTATTTCATAGCAAAATGGCTTCTTATGTTGGTAATTTTTTTTTGTTGTAAAATGTAATGGCGATTTTTAAAGGTTTTTGTATTTTAAACAAGTAAACGACAAAAAAAATAAACACTGTAAAAGAGATAATATGAAGTGATATAACAAGGAAAATGGAGAAAAAGACTTTTATATAAAATTTAAAGAACGGAGAAATGAGAAGAGCTGATATCAAAAATCACAATGTTACTTAGTTGTGAGTTGTCAACACTGTATATCTCTTATAGGATTTTTGACGGTCAAACCGCGAATCTGATTCGCGTGGTCAAGGCTTTTTGGACTTAAGCTATTTAAACTTTTTTAGGTGCCAAGATAACAGTGGAAGGCGGGGGGGGGGGGCAGTAGAAATCAAAAATACATTTCTTTTCAAGTCTCGGTTTGTTTGTGTACGTTTTCCCGGGAGAGAATACTAGTATTTTACTCGTTTACACAAGGGCCAACAGAAGGGCACACTTGTCGAAGAAGCAATACATTTTAAAGCACATTAATATTGTTACAAAGTCGCAATACTTTTATCGAAATTTGTATTTCTGTCGCTTTCAGTTGAAATAATTCATATGAAGACCTGTCACCTTTTACAAAGAACACGTGGTCAGTGGTCTTAGGGGACGACAAAACAAAATGGCGTCGCTCGAACACACCGATAGTGCCCGGTAACCGCGGTCAGTATTATCATACCGCAACTGCGGTATAAAAACGAACTAACGATACCGCGGCTCAAATTCTGATAAATTTACTCATCTTTAGGGTGGTTTTTTTTTATTATTATTGTTATGTACTATTTTTTTTTTTTTTAAATAATTCCGCAATCCCTCGTTAACGCCGCTTTATAATGATAATTATATTATAACATGCACAGTGCACACTGCACACACGCTGTTGTGGGGCAGCAGCGCGCGTACGCACATCGATTTGTAATAACATCAAACGGCGATGCATCCACTTAAATATGAAAAACTGTGTGTACGACGACGACGATTGCTATTATCATAATAATATGACCGTCGTCGCCCAACTAATATAGATTATTATTATTATTATTATTATTATTAGTATATTCGTTGCGCATGGTAATTACTGTTCGTTAAATAATGTCTGGGGCCGACGATTCTCGGTACACAGCCGTTTCATTCATAAATTATTAAATGCAACAAAAACGAGACGACAATATAACACAAAACGTTACAGACCTATATTTAACTTATTCATTACTGGCAATTTTGTCCGTGGAATTTCGATTGACTTCGATTATTATCGAGTAAAGAAACACACGATGAAAATATTATATTCCGTGAAATGTATGTGATAATATGTTGTTCTAATCGTTTGTGATATAATAACATACCAAGTGTTTAGACGGTCACCACGACCGTGGTAAGCAACCACCGCACGCGTGAACAAGTTTTTCCAAAGACACTCCAACTACGTTTGTAGATTGGTTTCACAAAAAGGGTCAGAGCTGAAACCTGCGGGGGAGCTGAATTGGAGTTCAAAACAGTGCCAAAACTGTATAACATTCTTATATAAATATATATATAACTAGATAATTACCGCCAATTATTGTCGGTCTGATTTGGAATAGGAAAAAAACATTTTTAAATAAACACCGCGTCGGGGAAATTTGTATGTTATTACTTTTTTTTTTCGGCGATAAAACTACTTTCAAAGCCGATTCCGTATTTACGGTGAAATTCAAAGGCCTGTAATGTGTTAGGATTCGCCTAATTATCACAGCGGGATCACACGTGATCCAAGTTCGAATACTGATTATTTAAGAAAAATAAATGTGTATTTATATACACACATATCGCAGGTACATCCATCCAAGGTCCGTTCGCCTATCGCGGTGTGCAACGAGACAAGTACCAGCTGCTGTAAGTATGTAGTTATTAAAATAAATAAATTGCAATATTAGTAATAATAATCGGTAATAAATAATTATCACCGTTGGTCGGTGCGCGTAAAGACGCATTTACATATTATCTCCGTTACATTATTAATGTACATAGACATTGCAATATTTCACACATTAATTGATCAAGAACAAAAATGTGCGGTACGTTTTCAGCAGGAAGAACGCAAACAACAAAAATATGCAACACAATGTCCTTGGCTGTATAATAATATTATTATTATTAGGTACTATTATTATGGCGGATAGTGCACGGTGCAAATGATGGATTTGTGGGCGGGGGGAAAGCGCATCGTTGAGCTTAATGAGCCAACACCATAATATAATGAGTTTTTTTTACCATTTATTTTTATATGTATACATATAACTGACGGATTTAGTTTTAAATTGTCAAATAATTGCCTACACCGAACCCCTTAAATATAAATATTAATTTGGAGACGCGGCATCCTCTGATGATTTTCAAATACATTTTTATTCGAGTAATCGGATGTGTAACACAAAAACAAAGATATTTTCTAAAAATTATTGTCAAATCGATACACAGCCGATATATATGTACAGGTAATGTTACCGTGTATTGAAAGGTACTAACATAATTAACCCTTCACTGCACAATGTTCCATGTATGGAATAATTGTATTTATTGTTTATATCTGCTCATGCTATACATCTTTGATGCACAATGTTCCATATTTGGTACAATTCTTTAATTAGCGTTTTCCATGAAACCAAAACTAAAAAAAAAAATTATTTTTATTTTTTTAAGTAGTATTAAGTACATTTGTAGCATTCGGTTAAAAAAAAATTCATGCAGTGAAGGGTTAAAACAACAGTAAACAAACTATTTTTTTTTTATACACGTACATATGAGTTATTTATTACATGCGTTTAAAAATTATTTGAAAATCGAAACGGAAAAGTAAAGCAAACAAGTATAACATAAAAAATAATTTAAAATAACGATCATTTGTATAATTTCACAGACAGAATTTCTTTAATTTGGTCAAACTGAAGTGAAAATGGTTCCCAGTCAATTTCAGAAAAGTTCAATTGTGCTTTAGGTATTTGAAAAAAAAATAATACGATTTATGTAGATGCTAACATCCTATCAATTTATGGAAATAAATAATTTAAGTACTTTTATCACGGTATCGGTGGTGTATCGCGGTTATCAAGACAACAGTATTTCTGCACACCCCAACGAACAAATCAATTGAGTACTTGCAAGCAGATACTTGTCATGAACGCTGATTTAAATACAAATGTTTTCACACATACCTTTTGTTCACACACATGTTTTTTAATAAATAAGCTTATTCTCCCTTCACAATCTGGCTGTCCACTCATATCGACTAGTTGTTTTTGTAATGTTGTACTATAATATGTATATAATTTAGTATTATGTGAATTTCTCGATTCTGATCGGTGTAAACACGTTTTCTGTTTACTTGACAAACGTCTATTATCGTTTAATCTAATAGTCGCGTTTTTAATTGTTTTTCTTCTTCTTGTATTGCGCAAACGACAATGATATTATAATATAACCGAGATTGCAAACGGTCAAAATACAAAATGACCGTTAAAAACAAACATTTTTTTACAACTAATACTTATTATTATTACTATTTTTGTCGTTTTATCGCGATAAACTATTGTTGTCCGCTAGAGAATATTATGTGGTCATCGTACAAATACCAAGTAACATACCTGGTCATGTGATATTTTTCTTGTATTATTATTAAAACATAATATTGGTCGACCGTTGACCGAATTGGATCGAATTACAAAAGTCAAGCAAGCACACGGAGAATCGAATACTACACGTGCAAGCTGTCGGTTAGCCCAATGATAGCTCTTCTCAATAATAAAAAAAATAATAATAATAAAGTTACTTATGGTCAATAGACTGTTTTCACACGGCCGACCCTTTTATCGGATAGTCGTTTTTCAAATAAGAAATCCCGCTCAATTCTTAAGCACACTTCCTCAAGAATTTGTTTTTTGCATTTTATTAACATGGACAATTTTAATTTTGTATTAAAAAAAAAAATTGAAAACAGATCAAAATTTTTTTAATTTGAAAAATAAGATTCTTAAAGGTAAACTTTTTGAG